CATTTTAAGTCTCATATTATAATAGGTAAACACTAGTTTCTCAAGTTTTTTGTACTTCAATCTGTTTCTTGCTTTGGTGTGAATATAGCTGAATGTGCTCTAATTTCGTTCACAATTTGATGCAGAAGTTGTTTGACTAAGCACTTTAATTGCTAATCGTTGTAATTCAGGAGTACATGTGCCATATATCATCCACCACTCAGCTGCATAATATTATTTAAATTTCAAACTAACATCAAATGTACATATAATTAAATAATATAAGTAAATAATATATTAACTATTTACCTGGATTCATTTTATTCCGAGCTCTTTGTGCCTGTGGAGTACCAAATGTCTCGTGACTTCGAAATAACAACTGCATAAATAAAAGTTTAAGTTAAAATAAGAAAAATATTCAATTTCAAATTATTTAATTAAGTTACAATAATTACTTGAATGAATCTAACCTGATTAACCATTCTGATTTGATTATCAAAGGTTCTCTTTCAATCACTGATCTTCCTTCTAAGTTTCTGCTAATACATTCTCAGAATGCTCCACCCCAAATTGAAATTGAGGATTGAGGAATAACCTAATCATAATTTAGCTCAAATGATAATAATATAAATTATAAACTTAAAATAAAAAATAACTCTTAATGATATGATATATTTTTCTTACAGCTGAATGCAAGTCGGAATGCATAAAATTCCATCTATTGTTAATAATTCTTTCATACTCGATGGAATATCGATAATTTTCCTTAATTGTTTGTTTTGCTCTATCAATGGCCTCATAAATAAAACCAATTGTTGGTTTTTCATCACCGTCAACAAGCCTTAGCACTTTAACTAGGGGTTCGTAAACTTTTATGATATCAACGGCTTTTTTCCAAAAATCTTTTCCCAAAACAATTTTTTTGGCTTCATAAGCAGGCCCTGATTTTTGTTGTCCCCATTTTGATTATATGAATTCCTATATTTAATATGAAAAAATCAATAACAAAATTTAACTTATTTAAAAATTAGAACTAATAAAATAATTAAATATTGTTATATTTGAGTAATCAGTAACTGTATTAACTAATTATAAAATACTGACCTTTGACTTAAACATCTCTCTCAAACCTTGTTTTTGCCTTGTTATCTCCTCAAGTTGTATGAAATGAGTAGCGAATCGAGTAAGAGCAGGGCGAAGAATTTGCTTACCGTGAGTATATTTCTTCATCAAATCAATGGTCCAAATGTGATTATATATGAAACATGTCACTTTTTTCGCTTCCTCTAACACTTTTGCTACACTAGACTTTTTTCCAATATCCTCAAGACATAAATCTAAGCAGTGAGCTGCACATGAGGTCCAATAAAGATGGTTTCTTTTCAACATTAATCTTTTCCCAGCGGCTTTCATTGCTGCCTCATTATCGGTCACTATTTGGATAATGTATTCTTCCCCAATTGCTTCAACAATTTTGTCTAACAAATTATAGTAGAATTCAACATCTCTACTACGAACGCTCGAGACATCCACAGATTTCCAAAATAAAGTTCTTTTACTACAATAAACAAGGAAGTTGATGATGTGCATTTGATTTAAACTATTGGTCCAACCATCACACATCAGAGTTGCACCCAGTTGTTTCCAATGCGTCTTCAGTTCATTTACCCATTCACGAACTTGTTCATACTTCGATGTCAAATACACATCTGAAATCTTACAAGGTGTTGGGAGCTTTATACCTTTTCCAACTTCCATTGATACTTGAATTAAGTTATACAACCAAGGCGAGCTTGCTAATCGAAAAGGAAGGAGATTGTATATTATAAATTTCGAGACCGCTTCACCCATCTTTTTACGCAATGTCTTTAAAATAGACTCGCTAACCTTTGGTTGTCTTGAGCTTTTGCTCTTAACCAATTTAGGTATAGTTCCCCTTAAACTAAATTCAGATCTTTCTTCATGATATCTTCCACGTGATCCAATAGAAGAAAATCGTCCTTCTTCATAAATGTTATCCCAACCACCCGTACTTCGTCTGAATTCTTCTCTTCTATGCCATTCGTGTTGGGATTGGATACTTTCTTTAGTGGCTTGTCTCATAGCAGAAATATCATCTACGAATTCATCCTCTTCTTCCCTTAATTGTGATAAGAAATCATATGTTCTCCTTTTTTTTGTCCATTTTCTTTTCCTTGGCTTCTTTAAGTAATTTCATCATGCTTTCTCTAATGATACATGTAATCAAATAAATATAATTCACACTATTAATAATGTATAATATTTATTATTAATATTTAAAAATAATTATAAAGTATATTTTTTCTAAAGAAATTATAAAATATCAGTATCACATATACACATACCAGTGACATTAGGATATGGTGCGACTTCACCGGTTTTATGAGCAATGTGCTCTTTAAACCGTGTTATTCCTCCTTTCACAACTTTGCCACAAAGTTTACATACAACATTTCCTTTCGTATTTGGAATTGGATCTCCAAAGTGCCAACCTATATCTCTACTCGGTGCACCTTCTAATCCTTTAGTCGGGAACTTTTCAATACGTGGTGCCATGCTTCAATTTCAATAAAAACTAAAATTAATATATACGTAAAGTTAAACAAAAATAATTTTCCTAGCTTGTAAACAAAAATATAAGTTAAACTGAAATTAAATAAAATATATGACAATATTAGAAGTTTAAAAATACTCTTCTATTAACTAATCGAAAATAAAAAGTAATTTTCTAATAAAAATTTATTCTTTATATTCAATAGCATTTAAATATGAATACGTGTAGATAATATTTTAATATAGAAATTGTATATCATATCACGATGTGCACAGTTTTGAACACTTATCATATGTTGATAGCTTTTACATATTCAATGAAGATAAAGTTAGTGGCGGTAAGATAGCAAGCAATTCCCTCGGTGGTACATGAAATAAGTTTACATATTTTCCTTTTTTTAATATAACTCACACTCATTGAATTGAGTTAGTTGTTTAATTTAATTTCAAAACTATATAATAAAAGGCAACTATGGAATTCTGAAGACCAACATTTTTGTTTTTTAATATATGTGTATTTTTATAATATATTTCTCAAATTTAGATTATTAAAACCGTGATCCGTACTTAATCTAAAAAACCAAATATTTAAATTTTCGGATTGAATATCTAAATCTAAATATAAATTTTAATTTACCAAAAAAAAAATTTAAATTTAATATTTTGTAATTTTATACAATTTATTATATATCTATATTATATATATATTTATCAAAATATGCTTGAACAAAGTAAAAAAATTCTTAATATGTCATTTCAAAGCTTAAAAAAATAAATAATATAAAAGGTTAAAAAGGAAGAAGAACTTATTGGATTCAATTATAAAATATACAAGCATTAAGAGTTAATATATTCTAATTTTAAGGCCCGTTGGGTAGTGATTAGGCATTGAATCTTTCAGTAATTTTAGGGTCCATTTTTTATTAGATATTTGGATGATTTTTGTCTAATCAAATGTGTAAAAAAAATTACATATTATCTTATTATCAAGAAAAACAAATTAACTATCTCAACTTCCAAGAGATGTCCCAGAAGTTTCTCAGCTCTTCCCACTCCCAGTTCCCACTTCTCTCAAGTCAAAGCTATATTCTTTGTTTCTTTCCATTATCATTCCCAATTATTTTTTTTCAGTTTTCACCCCACCTATTTCACTCTTTCATATTCGAAATCGAAACCTCAAATCCCCTAGTGAAGATTGCATCTTCAATCTTCCTAAACTAAGCAGCAAAAAAAAATTACCTTCTTAAATGGAAGCGAGAAGCTTGATGCCTTGATCTACTCCTTCACCGGCGGCGAAGCTTGACGAACAATTTTATTTTTCCGGCTCTTCCCCTTCTCGATTCGTTTTTGGTAAGATGTGTAATGTGTGTGTATTTGAGTTCACGGTTGATTAAATAACTTATTTTGTTTTGTCCCACTCCCTACCCTGGTTGTAACTTGTAAGTAATTTTTCTTTCTTTTCAGTTTTCAGTTCACTTTTCACTATACTTGTGGGCTCACAAGTTGCAAAAAATATATTCTCTTAGTTTTCTTTTTTGTTTTCTATATGATGATTGCAATGAACGTTGATTTTTGTATTTGTCTTGGAATCACGGTTGAATAACGGTGATTGCGTCCTGTTATCGACGCAATCGTCCGTTTCCCGTTAAATTACATGCGCAATCCACCGTGATCTGTGTGAATCCGTGATCCACCGCAAAAACCACGTATAGCAGTTCCGGACGGTGGCGCGACCGCAATATCGCGGCCGCTATAGCGTTTTCGGAATGCTATTTGATACCCTGCTCCCGAAGAAACTGCTCTTGTATTGCAAGCATTAGGTATTCACAGAAACACGACAATCTATATCGCTGCTGGAAAAATTTACAATGAAGACAAGAGAATGGCCAAACTAAGAAAGGCTTATCCAAATCTGGTGACTTGAAAAACCCAGAAAATTATGAGTCAATTAAATATGGCAAGGTTTAATTATTATCGAGTGAAAGCAGGTGAGAAAAGAGGTGGTATTGGAACCCTGGGAGCTTAGGCCCTTCATAAACCATGCGGATCAACTGGCAGCTTTGGATTATATTGTTGCGATTGAAAGGCCACTTTCGGAGGAAACATGGCCAAAGCCGTCCAAGGCCATCGCAGGTAATCATTCTAGTCTCCCAATGACAGAATCTCTCTAAACTTACTACAACTCTGCAATTGTGTTAAGCGTAAATTATATAAATCGTCCTCTGATTTTAGGATATTTCTTTGTTGAGTATTCCAATTATTAAAAATTACAAAATAATCCCCGATTATAAGATGTTGCCTTATTGAGTTCCTAACTATTAAAAGTTATAAAATGATACTAAATATTTATTATGTTCCAAATTCGTCATTTTTTAATTAAAAAATTGCTGACGACATGAGTTGAATGTTAATATATTATTGTAATCACAATTTTTATCCCAAAAATATTTATTGTTATATTATTATTATTATTACCAAAAAAATCATAAAAAAGGAGAAAAAAATAAAGAAAAATGGCAATCCCTGAATATCCGAGGCATTCAATGCCCTGATTACTGCTGCCAACATTATCTTCTGCCATCACTGTTTCCACTGGAGCCTGACATGCCTGGAAACCTACTACTCATGTTGTTTTGCACGCCACCACCAAGGAGACTCTCCATATAACCTGCAAAGAAAATCAAGGAATGGAGGGAGTTCTAGGATTTTCTTTTTTTTCTTGTAACCTGGAGGTGTTCTATAGAACCCTCTATGAAAATATGTAAAAAATGGGTCTATATTTCTCTATTTGAGAGCACCCGAATCAAGCAATGTAAAGGGATATCTCCCCATTTTTTATCAATCAAAAGAATACATAGATCATTTTTTTCTTTTCATTTCTTACCAATCAATAACACAAATCAATCACCAAGCAATCATTTTTTCTTCCTTTTCAAAAATAAAAAGAAACAAAATAGTCCACACAAAAGAAATACATATTCGAAACTAGCAAAAAGAACCAAACAGAAAATAAAAGAAAAAAGGAGAGAAAGAGGGTAGCTTCACTTCTCGGCCTAAGCCTCGTCGAAGTTGGCAGCTTCTGTTGGTGAATCCGAACGGTCGGAAGCTTTTTTGAGGCCCCCAGAGCAACATACATCGAAATCGACCAGATCCAACAGTTTCCGGATGATATCGAAGCGTTGGGAGCCGAAACATTGTCGATCGTTTTCGTGGAGATAGGAGTCGAACCATGCAAAACCAAGCCCCGATCTATATTCATGGCTTCAAGACGAGCATCTCGGTTTGTTTTGGGCCCGAACGGTCACCAGAGACGATGACCGGTGCGACGGTATCCATCGCTAGCTTCTGGAGAATGAAGAGAGAAGGCATAATATATTTGGGAGGAGAGAGAGAGAGAGTTGAAATGGAAAAGTGGGAAAAAATGGATAAAAAGGGCTTATATAGTCGGAACCAAACGACGCAGTTTTGGACCATACGTGCGTTTTGGACCCGAAGGGTCTAATCTCTTCCATAGTCATCTCAAGTTCCTCTAGTTTTCATTTTGGTCACTATCATGCGATCTTTTCATTTTTATTTTAAATTTTATGTCCTTATCTTGCTATTTTACATTTTTATTTCTAAATATTAACTTTTCGATTTATTTTTTTCCAGGTCCTATATTTCACGCATTTTTACATATTGGTCTTTGTTTTAATTCTTCAATTGCGTGTTTAATTTTTTAAATATTTCAATTTAGTCACTATTTTTCATTCTTTTCATTTATTTTGTTTTAAGTCTGTTAATTCTGTTAATTTATTAATTGGTTACTCATTTCCATTGTTTTATTTTATTTTAATTGTGGCATTGCATTTCATTTTAATATAATGTAGTCCTTACTCTAATTTATTTTTCTAACTTCTCATTTTAATTTTTTTTTCTGGTTACTCGAATGTATTTATTTAATTTAAGCTTTTACATTTTTTTATATTCATTCGATACTTTATTTATCTTTTTTAATTTAGCTATTCTTTTCATTCAAATTATTTATTTTAATTAAATTGTTTTAGTAAATATTCTAAATTTCTTTTCTATTTCTTTCTAGGTATGTCCGTTAAGATACATTTTCTTGATTAATTTAAATTTTAGTTTTTATTCTAATATTAGCATGTTAATAACTAGGTTTCAAGTTCAATCCTTTGTGTTTAGATTCTTCACATTTTAGTCCTTTAAAATAGGGGAATTTTCAATTTGGTCATTGCCTTCATGCTCGAGAATCCAAATAAACTTTTCGATTAAATAATTAATCTGATTATTAATTAGAGCTTTAGTTTAGATTTAATCTCTTGACTTTAGTTTTTTCATGTTCTTGTCCCTAAACTATTAATTAGGTTTTCTGATTGACATAATAAATTAGGATTAATTAGAGCCTTAACATTAGGTTTAATTTCAGTCTAGTCCTTTAATTAGGGGGTGATTCGATTTAGACTTTTGCGTGAAAATGCCCGATTGCTCAAATACATTATCCGGTTTATAATTGGTTAACAAAATAATAGGGTTAATATTAGAGACTTCATTAGTCAATTGGGTTCTTGAATTTCATAATTTGACACTTTAGGTTAGGCAATCCTTTAATAAACTCATTTAGTATAATTAGGTTCTTAAACATGTTGATTGATTGTATTTCTTTTTCAAACACAAGGCATTGTTGACTTATCAGGGAATCAATAGTATAATCCCCGCCATCATGCTATGGGGTTACCACTGATGATTCCTGAAGTTGGTCAACATCCTTTAGAAACCCATTCATTTTTTTAAATCTCGAGGCAATGTTTGGTTGTTGGGCACAATAATTGATCTCTCATATACATGCTAGAGGGTGAATATTATTGGCTTTAAAACACAGGCACCCTCTTCAACTTTGTATCAATAATGATTTCTAAATTAAATAAAACTTCTGACTCAAAATTTCCAAATTTCAATCTAGGGTAATCAACTAGGTACCAATTTTTGGGTGTTGTGGGGGTGCTAACACTTCCCCACGCGTAACCGACTCTCGAGTCTGATTTTTTGGATTTTCGTAGACCCCAAACTAGGTATTTTGGTAAAATAAAATATTTTTATTCAAATCACCCGATTTTTATGGTGTTCAAATCGCACCTTAAAATGATTGGTGGCGACTCCTCACATTTCAAAAAATTTTCAAAGAAAAACCCTAAGTTTTACTAGTTTTCCCCCACCCAAGCAAAAAACAGTGACGACAGTTGTCATAGAATCTCATAAGACTATCATATCTCAACCAACATATTAACATCTAGATCGGACTGTTGTTAATGTTTTAATAAAAAAGGATGAGATTGGAATATAATAAATAGCCGGATGACTATTTTGTAACTTTTAATAGTCGAGACTCAACAAAGCAACATCCCATAATTAGGAATCATTTTGTAACTTTTGATAGCCGGAGACTCAACAAATCAATATAAAAAAAAATTCTAAAATACACAAGAAATTGAAATTTGCAGAAGGTTGCTATCTTCAGCAAGATCAAGTTTTCATTGTAATTCCTTTATCTCTAAAAAATATCTAAAGAACTCTTGATCAAATGTTTCAGAGATTTGTATCTCCCAATCATGACATGATATTTGATAAGTTTATATGATCTGCCATAGTCAAGTTTACACGTGGTAATATTCATTCAACCTGTCACCTTATAAATAGTTATTATAACTCTAACCTAACACCAACATTGAAGGGTTTTTTTATATAAACTCTCTTACAATACTAAAGAGGTCTTCTTCTTTTCTTCTTTTTCCACTCTCTCTCTCATGGGGCTAAGGGTTCTTCATTTTTAGTGATTCATCTTTTTGTCTAAAATTATCATATACAACTTTTCATCTAAAATAGCACTGGTGATTCGTTTATAATCATCATAACCTCAAATATTATCATCGATAATTTTATTTTCAAGATAACAACATTGTCAAATGTTTTTTTTTTGATACATGGGATTCAAGACAACAGTTCTTCTAGATGCAAAGATTCTAGTTTCATTAATCAATGACTACTACAAAGGAACATTGAGTTGGGATGAATTTGCATTGATGGTGAAGAAAACTCATCAGCATCTTGTTGGAAAACCATAAGAGAAAGGAAATTCCAGATCGTCCTAGATACGAAGATTTTTTCTATTCTAATCCACAAGAATGTCTGCCTCCATTTCCTCACTGATCACTACTGCCACATACTTAAAACCAAGAATTTTTTTTTTTTACTTTTATTACACCCTTGTGCTCTTTTATTACACCCAATCAGTCCTTGGCATCCAAATAAGAACCTCTTCACGAAGATCACCATGAAGAAAAGAAAAGTATTATGAACATTCATATGATGCACCTCTCAATTTTTGGCAGTAACATCTAAAAACACAATAACAATAAGGCTTAATCCAAAAAAAGTCTAATCTATACTCTTTTTCATATTTAGGTATCTATTTTTTTTCAGTCAATTTGGATGTTTATCGTTACAAATGCTACCATTCTAAATGTCTCGATCATAATGACCGTTAAAATATTATGTTAAGTGGCACGTTTCAGTTTTACACAACTTTAAAAATTTTATTTAAAATAAAAAACTTCAAAATAAAAAACTTCAAAAAATATTTTTTTATTAAAAGCTCAAAATTTTCGAAAATCTTAAAAAACCAAAAATTTTGAAAACCCTAATTTCAATCGCTATACCCACATTGACCATCGCTTTTACTGCCGTTGTCATCGACTCGGCCTACGTTGATCGCACCTCCACCTAATGATCAGTTACCCGACGAACAATCACCTGAAAACCCCACCTGACACTAAACCCTATGAACCAAACGATTGCAAATTACGATACACGATGACTACGATGGCAATCTCGATGGCAAAGGCGACATCGGTGAAAGCAACCGTGGTGGCAAGGGAGGTGATAAGTATAGGGTTAGGGATTTTAAGGTTGATTTTAGGATTTTTAGGAATTTGAGGCTTTTTTTTAATTTTAAAGAAATTGGGGGTTTTTTAAATATACTAATATTTTTAATTTTTTAAAATTCAAAATCGCTTGAATACAACACATGTCACTTAAGGGACTTTTTGACCTCAGTTGAGCTCTAGGCACTTAAAATGAGAATATTTGTAACGTTAAACACTTGGATTAACCGAAATTTTTTTAAACACCTATAGTTTGAAGACTTTTTATATTAGGTTAAATTACACATTTAGCACCTAAACTATTAGTTTTGGTCCATTTTAGTACATAAACTTTCAAGTTATTCAAAACCATACCTAAAGTTTATTTTTTTTTATTTTAGTACTCTGCCGTTAAAAATTTTCGTTTTTGTTTCATTTTAGTACCCCTGCTCAAAATCTAACGTTAAGTTTTGAAAAAAATTGAAAGTTTAGGAACTAAAATGGATCAAAATTGATAGTTTAAGTACTAAATGTGTTAAGTTTTTAACAGCGGGGTACTAAAACTAAACATTAGGTATGGTTTTAAAAAAATTAAAAGTTTAGATATTAAAACAAACAAAAACTAATAATTTAGGTAATAAATGCGTAGTTTACCCTTTATAGTAAGCCTAACAATAATCATTTTAGCCACCATAACAAATATTTTTGCATCAAAATGTTTACTTGTTGTCTTTTTATATTTTTATTATTGGTAAAAGGGTACATAAGGTCCATGTACTTTTATAAAAGAAGCAATGTGGCCCTTGAATGTTTTTTATACTCAACGTGGCCCTCGAACTTTGTAAAAGAATCTAATGTGACTATTTGACCAAAAGTTTTCGTCGTTAACTATTATGATGTTGATGTGGCACTTCATGGTGCCGGTGTGGAGGTCTATGTGGCACTTCATAGGTTGATGTGACTGATGAGCTAAATTGTTTCTTTTCAATTTCGAGCACCAAATTGATTTTTTAAAAGTTCAGGGGTTTATATGATTTATTTTAAAATAAAATATTTAAAATATATGTTAAGCTCTTTAATCCATTGATTTATATCTTCGTTCACTCTTAAAATTTGATTCTTTCACTTAAGAATTTTATTTTCATCATTGTTGGTATTAGTGTCATTATTTTGGAACACATAGTAATGTTAGGAAGTATGATGGAGTGTAGATATTGTAGAGTTAGTTGCAAAATTTGATATATCTAAAGAAAATTTTGGTATTAGTATGTTATGATATTAAAAAATATATTTATGAATTAATAAATTTATGATTAAATATTAGTATGTTATGATATTAAAAATATATATTTATGAATTAATAAATTTATGATTAAAATAATATAAATTTGATTTGATGAGAATTAATTGTAATGCAACATAAATAATTGTGAGAACTCATTTTATCCTTAATATTATAGAGATTTTACTCTTATTTTCAAATGATGTATTCTTTATTCTTGTATATTTGATATTTTATTTGTTTACTTTTTACTTATGTTTAATTTTTCTTAATTTTATAATAAGTATTTATTATTTTTAATATTTATATTTTAATAAAATTTATTTAATAAATAATCTTAATAATTAATGATATTTTATATTTAATTTATTTTTTATATTTTAAATTTAAAATAATAATATTTTAAAACATTAAATAAACCTTCAAACTTTTAAAAAATTCAATTTAGACTTCAAATTTAAAAAAATCAATTTAACTTATCTGTCACAATCACATTAATACCGTGAACTGTCACATCAACATCGTGAAATGTTATATCAGTATCGTAACTGTTAATAATGGAATTCGTTAATTAAAGAGCTACAATTAATTCGTTTTTAAGGGTATTAAGTAAAATAAAAATCGAAGGTCACATTGTTTTTGTTTTTTTCCTAGAAAAATACATGGAGATGCACTCTTTTGCCAAAAATAAATAAGAATAAAAAGAAAATAAAAAGTTGTTGGAAAAAAAAAGGAACCGAGCGCAGTCAAGAAGTAAATGCGGCAATAGAACACAGATGTTGTTGTCTTCTTCATCGGCAATAATTCGAAGGATATCACTGTCCTGGCTGATTATGGCCAACAATTCTAATTTCAAATCCAACCGCCTCGCTTGTTCTGGTAAATTCCTCTAGTCACTATTATAATTTCTATCTTCCTTCATTTATTTGCTGGGTAATTCTTTTTACCCTTTTGAAATAACCACCCGATGTTTCTCTGGCGTTAGAGAGGTCCACGAAAAGAGCTAGAACAATGAGCACACAGTCTTTCATCAAGGACGCTTTTTCTAACTACGCTGATTACCTTAATGCCCTTGTAAATTTTCCTTTCATTTCTCGTTTTTTTCACCAATTTTCTAGTTTATTTTGCATCCTTTCTCTATTTTTTAGCTTGGGTCGCATAAATTAACTTTTTTTTTTATCTCTATTCTGGTTTTGTGAAACTTTAGGATGTTGTTAAAATGGTGAAAATCTTGATCTAGAAGATTTAGATTAGATATACCCTATAGACCACAGTTTTGAGCTGTGTTGGGGAAAAAAACCTATCAGCATTAATGCTTTATACCCTCATTTCGTCAGGGACAAATTGGTAGGAAATAACAATTGTTTGTTCCAATACAGGTATAAAATGGGTGCTAGATCGTTTGTTCTAGCAGTGAAGCTTGTTTTCTTGTTGTATACTTGCAATATGGGGATATCTTCTTCTCCAAAATATTCAAAGTTTATTACATGTATAAGCTGTAAAGTTACCTTGCATAGCCATAATGGGATTGTCTTTTTGGCATGTGTCTACTTCATTGTTGAAGATTATTTTATATGTAATGACTAATCAACCCAAATCGTTTTTTTTTTTTTGTAGAATGAAAAACGGGAAAGGATAGTTAAAGCTAGTCGTGATGTAACTATGAATAGTAAAAAGGTCATATTTCAGGTGCACAGGTAATGGTCAGTTTGCCGATTTTCATTTCTCAAGATTCCAATGATATGGTAGTTTTTTTTGTTCTCTTGGCTGTTGTATGTTCATCTGGTTCTTACTGCAATTAGTCAATTCAAATACATTTTTCCTCTTGCTGTTATTTACTATCTATTCTCTTTATCCATATGGTTTTGTTTGTTCACAAGAAATAAATTGTTATGTCAGTTAATACGATATGTTACTTTCCTGTGGATTTACTTATGCTTTCTTATCTAGCTACAACAATTCTTTGATGACAGAATAAGTAAAAACAATAAAGAGGAAGTTTTGGAAAAGGCAGAAAAGGATTTAGCTGCAGTGAGAGATCTGCATATCTCTCGACTGGTGAAAGAGTTGCAAGGGACTGATTTTTGGAAGCTACGGCGAGCATACTCTCCGGGGGTTGCCTCTTTTCCTTCTTAGACTTTAGTGCAATAGTGCCAAAGAGAAATGACTTAGTTGACTTATTATGCTCGTCTCTTGGCAGGTACAAGAGTATGTTGAAGCTGCAACATTCTTCAAATTCTGCCGAGCTGGAACTCTCTTGAATCTTGATGAGATAAATGCTAGTTTATTACCACTTAGTGATCCATCTTTTGAGCCATTGCAAATTAACCTCCTTGACTATCTCTTGGGGGTAGATGCCTGAATTTTGTGCTATTTAATTTTTATAGGCTTAGGTTGATTAAAGCATTTGATGCAAATATTTTCGTATATCATTGTATCCTTCTGTAAAAATAACATCTACTTATTTCCAGCATACATGCAATCATGCATACACATAAATGTCTGTCAAACCAAACCAAACTAGTCACATAAACTCTCACATGTATTACAATGGAGGGTGTTGACTCTTCCTTTACAGCTTGCAGATTTGACAGGAGAGCTGATGCGATTAGCGATTGGTCGAATATCAGATGGCGAAGTAGAATATTCTGCGAGAATATGCCAATTTGTACGTGATATCTATAGGGAATTGACTCTTGTTGTCCCACTTATGGATGATAGTTATGACATGAAGACAAAGATGGATACAATGCTCCAAAGTGTAGTGAAAATAGAGAATGGTAATATTGGTGCTGGTATTCTTTCCCTTAAAGTCAGAATCATCGTGTAGTATATTATGAAAGATTTCTTTGTTAAGCTAATGAATTGAATATCTGATGCCTATGATTCCAGGGTTTTGTTGTTATTATATGTGCTATAAATACTTAAGGATCTTAAAAGACTTGACAATCCAATTTCCGTGCCCAACTTGTATCCACATTATAATTCTTTTGCTGGATCCCTTATACAAGTTCTTTTTGCATGCAGCGTGCTTTAGTGTTCGTGTTAGAGGATCAGAGTACATTCCGCTTTTAGGGTCCAGTGATCCAAATTCTTTCTTAGTGGGAGTGTCTGATGCAGAATTATGAAAGTAACTTCTGCTTTTCTTAGCCTCTCTTCTTTCCTTCTCTTTGTTTTAATCGTATATTCGTGGTATGCCATTAACTTCATATAGTTCCCTTCCTGCAGTTCTTGGCTGGATGAGTTGTTTCCTTCTCGAGATACAAAGGTTTTGGTGTACGTCACGTAATGTTTGCCGAGATAGTTTTACGAACCGAAAGTTCCTTTAAGGCTTACACTTTGCTGGCTTTGTTTCTGGTGCACTTTGTTAAAGCTTGATGTAGTTACCTTGCATACTCTCTGCAAATGGTTATAACAGGGGAAAGAATCAAGGTACTGTATTTGGAAGCTTTCATATGACAATTCTCTCTCTTGCCCATATTAGTTGATGGGGAGTTAACAATGGAACATAGAATTAGAAATCTTTTAAAGGTGTCCTGAGTCTGACTCATGAACTCATTTAGATGGGCGCAGTTTGACACTTGGATCCAGTTTGCATGGGTTGAGCATGTTTTAAACATATTAGCATCCTATTTAATGATTGATCCTGTTTATGCCTAGTCAATATTCCTAGTCCTATCCAAGTATATAAAGCTTTCTCCTTGCTCATAGCTTCAGTTTTCTCTAATTAGTAGCACTTAGCAAATACTAAATTGTAGTATCCAGGACACCAAAATCTCGATTGACTTTTATGCTCTTCCCTATTACGGATCTGATATAGTTTTGGGAGTGGCTTGGTCAGCACCGTTGGGTCTGCTGGTTACCAACTATACTGATATAGCCCTGAACCCCTCCCTAGAGTCATACTATATGGAAAACATGCTTTTGGTCTCCATTAAATGTCAAGTTCAATGCCGTGTGTAAGAATAAGATGGTCAAGAAAACCATGGCTACAAGGTATTGGACTAGAAGTGGATAAGGTTAAAAGAAAGAAAGAAAAAAAGGCAACGGGAAATTACTAATTAAATTAAGTTATGAAGTATCATGTGCTCACGAGCATCTTGTCACTGAAATGTATGCATTGATTCCTCCCTCACATGGCGGATATACAAATGTAAATTCTTAATTAAGCGAATGTATTTGAAAACTCATCCCTCCACATGTACGTCTGACCGGGATCTAAGCATATACCAAATAATTTAGTTATTTTTAAGGGTAAAGTACAAAATCGATCCCTTGACTATAGGATAATGTTTTATTGAGTCCCTTGATTAATAAATGTTACAAAATGGTCCCTTAATTATAAGAAGTTGTTTTGTTGAGTCCCTTAACTATTAAGAGTTATAAAATGGTCACTCGACTATTCATTATGTTTCAAACTCGTCATTTTTCATTAAAATTTCAACGACAATTTGAGTTGTATGTTGACATATTGATTGATATATGATAAAATATGATCTCATAATCACAAATTCCTATCATATCTCAGTCAACATGTTAACGTTCAGTTCAAATGACCGTTAACTTTTTAAAGGAAAATGACGAGTTTGAAATATAATGAATAGTCGAGTGATCATTTTGTAACATTTAATAGTCGATGGATCATTTTGTAACATTTAATAGTCAATGGACTCAATAATGCAGTATCCTATAGTTGGGGGACCATTTGTATACTTTACCCTTTTTTTAATAGCCTCGGTGATTATAAGGACGTTATATGTTTAGAATCTTTTTGATAAAACACTTGTACACTCTGCAGAGTACAAACGTAGCTACTCGAATATATGACGCATAGAGAATAATATTTCCTTTAACCACTTAGACGGGATGATTGGTTAAACCGCTTGATGGGTTTATAATTTAATCATTGTTTGCGGAGCTAAAATTATACTGTTAATTAAAGGGACCTAGCACCATGATGCACCGTTTCATGCTTTCGGATCACACAGCATGGATGCATACCGAAACAAGCAACCAAGGCATCTGATAAATACATATAATATATATATTTTGTTTATATTAAATGCTTAAGATCCATTAAGGAAAGATATGATACACAAGAGCATATAAAGAAGAGATAATGGAAGAATCTGGTGCAGAGTTCCCAGGGTTCCAAATTTGTGTTCACAAAGATGAAAGGGTATTTAGAAGGCCACTAAGCAGGCTTTAGAGGCGTGCCCTTCGTCCGTTGCCGATTAAGCCTAATGTCGATAGCAAGGCTTCGTTGTCATTGTCATCGTCATTGTCATTAGCAGCAACAATAGCATCTTCGACTTCATTTAGTTCATTCTATCAAAGTAAAGATCCCATCCCTCTACTATCGCCTCTCGTTTTGCCTTGTTTGCTTGAATCATCTTATCTAAATCAATATGGAAATACTGCAACTTAAGTCCCAACTCTATGAAATGTAAACGGCTTTCCTGTTATAAATCAATACCATGGTACATGGTTAATTTTGTAATTATGTACTAGGGTTTTCTATTATAAATAGAGATGTAACCTATACCTATTATCATTGAATAAAAATTTTCTAGCGCCGCCTAGCACCGAGGACGTAAGCACATTGTCGAACTCGTTAAAATTCTTGTGCTTTTTCGTTTACTTGCCGATTTATCAACAATTGGTATCAGATGTCAGGAGCAAAATTCGAAGTTGCGAAATTCGATGGTCTGGGTAACTTCGGATTATGGCAAATGAGGGTGAATGATCTGTTGGCGCAGCAGGGGATCCTGAAGGCTTTGCGACCTACAAAGTCGGCGTCGATGGAGGAGGAGATTGGGAATTGCAACAACGAGCGGTAGGAACCATACGATTATGCTTGGCGGACGAGGTATGTATCACGTCATGCATCTATCGTCTCCAGACGAAATTTGGAGGAAGTTGGAAGTCAGTTATGTCTAAATCCTTAACGACAAAACGTATCAAAAGCAGCGGCTGTATGGGCTGAAGATGCAGGACGATCATGATTTGGCGCACACGTGAATGTCTTCAACCAAATCGTTTCTGATTTGGCTCGGCTTGATGTAAAATTGAGGATGAAGACAGAGAGATGATTTTGTTGTGTTCGTTGCCCCTCTTACGAACACATGACTACTTTACATATGGGAAAGAGACTATCAAGTGAGGAGATTACTACAGCTTGTTGCTCACAACCAGCGAAGCAATGCAGGGGAAAACTCTCAAGCGATATATGTCAAGGGTAATCGAGACCGTGGACGGAAGCCAGAGAAGGCAGGGTCTGGCAAGCGAAATTCCAGATCCAAATCTAGGAGAAGACAATTCTGTTACAAGTGCAAGGAGGCGGGACATATGAAGCGAGACTGTCCGAAGTTGAAAAAGCAGACTGATAAGCGTGATGTTTCATCCAAGTCTGTGAACGTGGTCGGATGACAATTCTGATTGCAGTGAGGGTGATATGCTTTCTATTTCAACGACTCAATTGACGAATGCGTGAATTCTTCTGGATGTTCTTATCATCACGCCAAATAGGGAATGATTTTGACATACATGTCGGTTAATTCTGGTTCTGTTTATTTGGGTGATATCGATGTTGCAATATTGTTGGTATTGGTGTGTCAGAATTAAGATGTATGATGGCTCTGTTCGGACGTTGAGTTGGTGTTCGACCATATCCCGATTTGAAGAAGAATTTGATTTCTTTGGGCACTTTGCACCAAAAATGGTTTTTATCCCTAAGGCTGATGAGGATAGGGAACCATTCGGATTGTTAAAGGTGCTTTGACAGGATGAAAGGAAAGATGACTGCATGAATATTTATAGATTGTTAGGAGTACCGTTGCAGGTGGAGTTTCATTCTGTTGAATCCATGATGATACTACAAAACTGTGGCATATGCGTCTTGCTCATCTTAGTGAACGTGGTATGACAGAATTACACAAAGAAATCTTTTGCATGGTGTCAAAGCTGTAAGCTCGATTTTACAAGTATTGTATTCTTGGTAAACAGACTAAAGTCCGTTTCAAGACTGCGAAGCACACAACTCAAGGGATTCTTGTTATGTGCATTCTGATGTATGGAGGCCTTCCACGACATCGTCTTTGGGTGGATCTAGGTATTATGTTACTTTTATTGATGATTTTTCACGGAAAGTTTGGGTGTATTTTTTGAAACAGAAATCTGAAGTTTTTTGAGAAGTTCAAGCTGTGGAGAGGTAGAAAACCAACAGGACGAAAATCAAGTGTTTGTGGTCTGACAATGGACGGAGTACACAGATTCACAGTTCTTACATTCTGTAAGGAGCACGGGATTAAGAGACATTTTACAGTGCGCAAGACCCCACAACAGAATGGTGTTGCGGAACGATGAACAGGTCGTTGAATGAAAGAGCCAGATGTTTGCGGTTGAATGCGGGGCTTCCCAACCTTCTGGGCCGAGGCGTTAACATGGCGTGTTATCTTATCAACAATCGCCAAGGTATCATTAGCTGGGAAAGTTGCGAGAGGTATGGACTGGTCATGATGTTAGTTTTGATAACTTACGGATTTTTGGTTGTCCTGCTTGTGCATGTACCTGCTTATGAGAGATCCAAACTTGATGCAAAATCGAAGGAGTGTATTTTCTAGGTTACAAGAAGGTGTCAAAGGATTCAAGTTCTGGGATCCAGTTGCGAAGAAAATTGTGATCAGTAGATATTGTTTTTGATGAACCATCCATGTGCAACAGAAGAAAGACACGACAGTGGTGGATTTCGAGCAGTTTCCAGTTGAGAAACCAGAAACGTCTCAACCGACTTCTGGTGGTTCCACTACGGATGATTTGCAAGATTATAGTCTCGCCAGACAGGGTGAGACGGACGATATAAAGCCTCCGAGTAGATGGGTTTGAAGACTTGGTCTCTTTTGCACTTATTGTTAGCAGTGATGATCCATTACTTTTCATGATGCTGTTACTAGTCAGGAAAACGATAAGTGGATGGCAGCCATGGTTGAGGATGGAGTCTTTGAATCACAATCGTACTGGGAGTGGTTCCCCTTCCTGAGGGTAAAAAAGCCGATTGGTTGCAAATGGGTGTATAAGAAGAAACCAACAGTAACAGAAAAAGAGGGGAGAAGTTCAAGGCTCGTTTGGTAGCAAAGGGTTTTTCACAGCAAAAGGAGTTGATTATGATGAAATCTTTTCTCCTGTGGTCAGACAAACTTCAATCCGAGAGTACTTGCATTGGTGGCCAGTTGGGATTTGCATTTAGCAGATGGATGTTAAAACTGCTTTTTTGCATGGTGATTTAGAGGAGCAGATCTACATGCGGCAACCTGAAGGTTTCACTCAACCTGGAAACGAGTATTTAGTTTGCAGATTGAAGAAATCTTTGTACGGGTTGAAACAGTCTCCGAGACAGTGGTATAAATGGTTTAACTCCTATATGATCAAGATTGGCTACCCGATGTGAGTATGATTGTTGTGTCTATGTTAAGAGCCTTGATGATGTTCTTTTATTTTTCTATTATTGTATGTTGATGATATGTTGATTGCTGCGAAGAACATGGATGATGTTATTGGTTTGAAAACTTTATTGAGTCAGGAATTTGATATGAAAGATTTAGGTGCTGCAAAGAAAATTCTTGGAATAGAAATTTGCAGGGACAGAGACTCAAGGA